GCGGCGCTGCACCAGAGACAGCAGAGACAACTGCGGCGCAGCGAGCGGCAAACAAATCGAGGTGGACAGAAGGAAAAGTCATTTGGAAAATATATCACGGACAGCGAGAGCAGCGACACCGACCATCAGCGGAGTGAGCGTCAAGGGATGAAAGTGCGCGGAGGCGAGGATCAGCAGCCCACAAAAGTTTTCCTTATGGATGGTGAGCAGCAGCAGGAGAGGCGCGTGACGCGGAATAGTGCGGGAAGAGCTGCCGCAGCAGCAGCAGCAGCAGCATCGGCACCGGCATCAGGAGGACTAGGACTTCTAGGCCTAGGGAGATTAGCCACTGCCCATAATAGTAGTAATATAACAGCAGCAACAGCCACAACCACATCCACAAGTAGCATCAGCAGCAACAAAGCAACCACGATTACAAATTGTAATAATCATAATAGTGTTGATAGCAGTAGAATTAATCATAATTCTAATCTTAGCGGTAGACATAGTGTTAAATCAAAGAAGCCACCACCAAGTGAGGCCTCATCTATACCCACATCCACGTCCTCAGTTGATGCGCAGTCCTTACACCAGTCTCAGCAGCAGAAGGCAACGCGTCGCAGCAACAGTCCCGCCCATAAGAAGAATCTTTTGGACACCTTTAACCAGGCTCAACAGGCTTATCCTCCTTCTCATCTATTGGCGGAAGAAGATCCCCCCAAGCAGAAACGTAGTCGTCGAGCCGCTGCATTGGCTGCAGCCCAGCACATCCATTGCGAGGCTTTCGGTGGACAGGTTGGATTAGGATTTGGACTGGGAGTAGGAACAAGAGCAGGACCAACAGCAACAGGCAGCTTGCGCAAAAGACAGCAACCAGCTAGTGCAGGAGCAGCAACAGGGGTAGCCAGCGAAAAAGCATCCATCAGACTGTCCAACAGCAGCAGCAGCATTGAGCCCCTTCTGAAGACTCCCGAGCGTCGGCTGAAGCTCACTCTGCGGATGAAGCGTTCTCCGATTCTGGATGAAGTCATTGAGCTCGGCACCAGCTTCAGCGACGAGCGGCATCTGGCCCGGCACAATGGAGCTATCGGAGGACGTAGTGCAGGCGTGACTGGAGCTAGTTTTGGATCGGGTGGAGCGGTGGGCAGTGCCGATGTGACAGGAGCAGAGGGGATTGACATTGAGTATGAGATCCTACGCATGGAAGGCATCTCGGAGCATGGCAACGATGATGACGTCGACGACGACGACGACGACGACGACGACGACGACGACGACGACGACGACGACGAGGACGACGACAAGGACGACAACGACGACGACGACGATGACGACGACGACGACGACGATGACGATGACGACGACGACGAAGAAGAAGAAGATGAAGATGAAGACGACGACGACGACGACGACGAGGACGATAATGCAGAAGATCTGCCCGAACAGGATGCAGAGCAGCCACAGGTGCCGCTCGAAGCGGCCCCACCCAGTACCATCCACTACGAGCCGCTTTCAAAGAAACAGAAGAAGAAACAGCGAGGCTGCAGTAGCCAGCGGCGGTCCCCGGATCCCAGCTCGAGTACCAGCAGCATGTACGTGACACCCCAGAAAAAGCGACTCCGCTTAATCTTCGGCAACGAGTCCCACACCATTGACATTCCACCAACGGGCGAAGGAGCATGCGGAGCAGCGGAAGGTGGAGCAGAAGCCACCGGAGTGGATGATCTGAACAGTAGCAGCGGCGGAGTGAGTGCAAGCGACGACTCGTTTAATGCATCGTACGCCAGTAGCGGCACCAGCATGACGGTCAACGCCTCCTCCCAGATGACAACCAGCAACAACAGTAGCGGTGTCGGGCCAGTTATCCCCATGTCCTCTGGCACGGGCAACGTGCAAACAGAGGGCATAGACTCCACGGCCAAGCTGGTGGCACCCGCCCAAACACCGCAGTCGCCGACATCTTCGACCAGCGGCTCGTTTTATTCTGCCTGTACCTCCACTACCAACACGCCCTACTTCCCCAAAGGAGAACGGCGTGGAGGAGCAGGAACCGGGCCAGGCGAGGAAGCAACCTACATCAATTACTATCAGAGTAGTGGCTCAAAGGTACTTGGAAAATACAGAGCCATGAAGCCGATAACTTCAAGCCCGGGCCAGGGGCAGGCTATTGTGAGCAGCAGCAGCGGTAGTGGTGTAGGGGCAGGACACGGATTTCTGCCACAATCGCTGACCATTCCCAAGCACACCTTCGGAACTTGCGCCCTGCTGGCCCCCACCAGCTTTGCCAGTCTCCAGCAGCCGCCACCGCCTTCGGTGCAGCATCATCAACAGGCGAAGACTAGCGTGGCCACATCAACGTCCGCCTCCTGCTCGCCGCCTGTGCATAACCACCATCATCATAGCCAACAGCACCAGAATCCACATCATAACCACCATATACAGCAATAACGAACGACTGATCTCCAAGTAACTTGACTAAGATCCGCTGACGCTGAGAGAAGAAAGCACGGGCAGAAAAAGAGGAAAATGAAGATAAAGAGGAGAACGAATGAGATGGAGAAGGATGAGAATAAGGAGAATTTGCATGCTGCTTGCGTCGTCGTTGCCTCTGCTGCTTTTCTGCCTTAACATAAGCCGATCAAAAATCGATCTGATCCCCTACAGTCGCACGTCAGTTTTATCCATTAGCTTTAGCCAAGATCCATTACCCATTGGTCCAACCCCCACCCAACCCCGGTGTCCATGCATCTTCACCCTGCGCCTTATCAGCATCAGATTCAGTTCTAACCTCATATTTTGTATAGGACCCAAGTCCCGTTTTAGCCTCTGCATTAGTCCTGGTCATAGTGCCAGGACCTTGTTCCCGCGTACCGGATTCCTGCATTCCGGGTTCCGCTCCCGAATCCTGGTCCCGGTCTTGGATCCGTGGGTAGCCAAAACAAACGAGAATCATGTGAAACAAAAGAACACAAGAAATTGTATCAAAATCAGATTTTAGAGACACAGAGACAAAAGAAAAGAAGAACAAACGAAAATCAAGTGAACTATTTGATTATAACTTACTTTTTTTTGCTTTCTTCTATTTCTCGTTCTCTCTTTATATCTCCCACTCTCTTTGTCTGTTTCTCCCTCCAACCTGTGGATCCCCCGTGTTGTTCTGTTTGGCTACCTTTGCATTCTCGTGCATGTGTATGTGTTGTGTGTGTGTGCTTTTCTTTTTCCCTTTGCCATTACAGATGCAAATTTAAAGCGTAAAAGTAGGAGAAAAGATGAAGAAAAAATGCATCAGAATAACGCCACAAATAAAGACAGCAACAGCAACTGCAACCTCAACAGTAGCAGCCCTAGCAGCAACAGGAACAACAGCAACAATTTAATCGTTAAAAAACTGAGAATCGAACTAAATCGCATACAAATCGTGTACAGTTGAGCCAGAGGACGCCGTGGGGCAGCGGTGGCAGGAGATCTACTCAACCAAGCAGTGAAACAGCAAGCAGCTACAACAAAACAGCATAAAGCAGAGGAGTGAGAACGGGGATTCTTACTGTTCGCACTACGGGTAACGTTTTGCAATTATAAAGGGGAAGCCCTATTCCCTAGGCCTACCACAACGAGGAAGATGACACAGGAAACCGCAAAACATACAAACCAGCAAACAAAGAAACCAACAAAAAAAAAACAATATTCTAAATGCAATGCACACAGACAAACGCAATTAGCAGCGGTATATACGCCTTACAACTAACGTTAACTTTATGAAAATTATATATACAAGCATTGCAAATATACATAATATGTGTATCTACATGTATAGTTTTTAGAAAGTCCCACAAAAGCCAACCCAACAATAACAGCAACAATAGCGCAGCATCAGCCACTGAAACAGCAACAGCAATATTAAAAACTGAATAATTTATATATATACTAGGCGCAATAATTAAATATACATAAAACGACAAATTAATTGTATATAAATAACAGATTTAAAATATAAAAAGAGACAAAACCAAACCGAGAATAAACTTTCAAAAATAATAATGAAAAATTAAAAAAAAATTTTTGGAAAATCCAAAATAAAAATCCGCAATAGTTCCACTGGCAACTGAAACTTTGTTTGGTTTAGGACCCTCTTCCTCCCAATAATATCTTATTTTAACAATCCGTACATGCACTTAGTTGTCATGTTTTTTTAAACCATATATACATTTGCACATGGGTATATGGATGGGGTACACACTAATCCGCATATCCGAACGATCATCTTCAGAATAAGAACTCCCACTCACAGACAACCCACAAAACCTACACAACATATAATACCACGCGCAATCCCCACACACAGCACCACAAAATGTATTTGGGTTGTCCAAATATATTTTGTTTCTATTCATTTTATACGATACGAATACGTACATACATCCACATACATAAATAGGTATGATTATTATTTTGTAACGATAATCTGATTTTTTTCTCTTTACGGATAAGTTGAACTGTAGCATATTACATATAATTATACATTAATCATATTTGATATGCATATATCTATATTATATACTTTATTCATATTTGTAACTACTGTGTATTATTTTGTAAGCCACAAACAATTCATAAAGAGTGGCTCCACAGCCAACATTCATAATAAACTAAAAGATAAAATTTAGTTTATACCAATGCATGCTACTGTTCTTTTACTTTATCGGTGTTCCCCACCCAGACCTATCGATAATACATAATTCCACATCATCATATATTTTTCAACACACCATCCAAAACAACGAAATTCCCACAAATCATTTTATAAATAGATATTTTTATCATACCCTTTTCAGAATATTTCCCTCGTAGATCCTAGTCCCCTGTGGGACTTAGGAAAAAATATCTGGCTATGGCTTTATTTTCGTCGTTTTTATGCGACTAATCTGCGAGCTTTTTTCTAGTCTTAAAGCTAGTGTCTTGCACTCCCCACTGGATATATTTCCTTTCCCATATTTTACCCTTCTATTCAAGATTCAACCAAATAAAGGATTTCACGCAAATCAAGGATTTCTTCTTTATTTCAGTACAAAGTTTTTGTCGTGAAACGAGGAGAGCTTCGGGCTTTTCCCCAGGCTTACATCTAAGAGTTTACTGAACCCCTGGAGCCGTGCTGTGTTTCCGATGATACGGGAGTTTGTGTGGTGTGAAGCCCAATATCCTGGGGTTGTTTGGTGTGTGCCCCGAGATCTAGGTGCTTTGTGGCTATGATGGGAGTCCACAAAGAAAATGGGGTTTTGTTACATGTGGTTTTTAGGAGAAGCAGAACGGTGTGGTGTTGTGTTGGGAAGGAGATACTATAGTAAAGCCTAGTGACCGTACTTCTGGAAGTCCCACTCGCGGTTGTCCAAGGGGCACACCTGACGAGTCTTCAGCCAACGTGAAATGCAGTGAAAGTGGAAGGCGTGATTGCAAACGCCCCAGGCCACGGTACACTCCTCGCTGGTGGCAGAGGCCTGGTTAGCCTGGCACTCGATGCACAAGTCCATTATGTGGTTGCGGCAAATGGCGCAATTGTCAACAACGATATCTGGCAATAAACGAAATTGTTAATTATTTCATGCAGGAAGTAATTTAAAAGTATTTTAGATTTTAATTTCACTGATTAAACGATGGCCTGCTATTGCCGGCAGACAAAGAGAAATTCTCTCTATTACGAATGTTTTACTCACCCCAGGCCCATAGAGCTACGGCGTTCCACTGATTTTAGAATGGAGCACAAGGTAGGGGCAGCGAGAACGTAAAATGAAAATATAAAAAATTAGTTATGCCCAACAGATAATAAATTCATCGTAGAACGCGTCACAAGCAAACATACACACATGTACTGATTCACATATGCAGCGGTGTGCGCACGTTACCGCCAGAAAATTTGTGCATGCTATATTTTGTTGCTACATTTGTGAAACTTACTTTCTTAACCTCGAAGCGCTTCTTTTCGCCCTTACTACTGCTGGAAGGCACCTCAAATTCTTCCTCGTCAACCTCCATGTTTCTGTCCATTAATTTGCAAACGTAAGAAATGTGAGAATCACTAGTTCAGTGTGACGCGGATTTATCGATAAAATATACCATCTGACCCTCAGAAATATACCGTCTTTTCAAAATATACCGTCAATATACCGATTAAAAAAAACGAACTTGACTTGGTGAACAACCGTTTGTAAATTCTTATTGTACATCCATCCCATGATGAAACTATACATCATCAGTCAGGCTCCGTTTTTTACTTACTTTTGCGGATTATGTTTTCAGTCAATACGTTTAGTTTTCGTTCTAAGCAGTTCCCGGTTTCACAAATTTTTGGTATCGATATGTTTTGTTCTTTCATCGATTCTCGCTAACAAAAACAGTTGACCTGGTTAATTTGAAAATGTACAGCGTGATAAAAATGCAAAAAGACGGCATGAAGCTCGCAAGTTAAGAAGATCAAGACATTTTAGTTGCAATGTCTGACAAACTGTGAGTAAAAATTAAATCAAAAAATTAATTTGTTGCACCTCTCTTTTGAATTAAATGTGGCGGGAAATAGCTGTCCCTACGTAGATGTTCTGTAACGTGCGTGTTACAAGCACAGTCTGTGCTGTTACTAAACATTGTTATGCGCAAAAATGTACTTCTTGCCAACGTTCCAATAATCAAATCGGACTGCGTCAGCTGTTTGCACCAAAACGAAAAATTGGTTGCCCTGACCAATAATTTCCAAGCTAAATTTAAGGTAGCGTTTAGTAAAAATTATTTATAAAGAAAGCAAAAGTTAATTTGCCCTGATATACGTGTCAAGTTTATGTTAATGCATCAATAAGTCAACTATTTTATTCCTTTTGTGAAGCTGAAAAATCAAATACATATATTAGTGCTCAGATTTTTGGATATATTTTTCTCAATAAATTAGATCATTAAAATTTTCCGCATTTTGAACGGCCTTTTCGTTAGGCGGCCACTTTTTTGTTCGTCTTTGTCGTTTGCCGTTCTTGCTTTTGGCGGTTCTGCTAGGAGGCAGCACCCTTGTTTACTGGCTCGCGCGCGCGGGTATCGTTCCGATCCCTCTTGACGACCGGCAGACGAGTCCATATATAGCCACCAGACCGTTGTCCTGTGTACTCGTCGATGTCCGGCAAGGGGAATGGCGTGCTGCGGTCGTAGTAGTAGTTACTGGGTGCATGCATCACGAACTCTAGGAAACAGAGCTTGCGGGAGAGTTCCTCGTCGGGTCCTGGAAGAGATAATAACGTAAGAAAGACTGCAGGAGGAGCTACAGATGTGCTCACCGATTAAGTAGGTGGCCGGATCGAAACAGTCCTGTGGATCGGGACTGTCCTGAGTGGGTATCAGCCATGTGAGGAATGCCGACTTCTCGCAGTAGGCGTCGACGAGCAGACCGCGGATCTGGGCGTAGTACAGCTTCTGCTGGCCGTCAACAATGCTCACGATATCACCGATTTGCATGTAGATCCCCTTATAGAACAAGCTCTTTACGAACTTGGTGCAAGCCTGCACCTTGGGCGTCTTCTGTGCCGGACGCTTGAAGATGGCGCGTCGATTTCTGGCTCCCTGTGAGCCACCGGCACTACCCACGCCAGACTTGCAGTGCGCCTTGCTGTTAGCCGGATGCGATCCGGTTCCATACGGATGAGTTGTGGACCCTGGTCCGTTGGGGGTGCCATTGTAGCCATTGGCCTGTCCGCCATTACCTCCGACGCCCGAGCGTCCCGTCAGCTTCGCCTTAAAGCGAGTAGCCCGCGTGCTCTTACGCAGGCGCTTCATTATTGTGGGCGTCTGATTTCCGGGAATGGTGGCCGCTGGCGTTCCATTGATGCTACTCCTCGTGATCTTTCCGCAGCGTTTCGTGGTCCGAGAGAGTGCGGCCTCAGGCGAAGCTTGCATTACCTCTTCCTTGCTCTTCTCCTTTCCTCCGGCTTCGGCTGTCGTTCCTTTTGTTGGGGGGGCTTCGGGTGACTTTAAAAAATTTTCGGTAGGATATTCATGACAGCTGACTGGCTTCCTTTTTAGATTGGTGTATGGTTCCGCAGCTTTGGCAAACGTCGAGGGTAGCTTCGGGCTTTCTTCTGGCTGGCTTGGTCCTGGAGGTGGTGGGTTGTCTGGCTTTTCTGTTCCTGGCACTGCATTGGCCGTGGGTGCATCTACGTCTACGTTCATTGAAACACTTTTTTCAGTTTCTGATTTCAGCGAATTTCCTTTATTTTTCCCGTCTTTTGCAGACGTACAGGCCCCGCACAGTGCTTCAGCAACGCCGCAGCCAACTTTGCCGGCGGTTTCCGAAGGCCGGCACGGCTGTTCCTTGCCGCTCGTTTTTCCGCACTTGCTGCACTGCTCTGGGATCGGGTCGTGATCTACGGACATGGATACTTTTGCTGGTCAATCAGCGATCGAAAAACTCAGCCTCTCGCTGTGCTATCAACAAAATCTCCGCAGTGTTGGCTAACGTCGCAGAGTCTTGCGTGTACAGTGCTGCCGTCTTGTGCAATTCTCGCTAATACCAAAAATGATAAAAAAAAAATCAGCAGAAATATATTCTTAAAATCATCGAAATAAGATCGACGAAGTATTTGGTCCGCCAAACCAGGAATGATTTACGCATGCAAAAGTATGGTCGACCAAATACTGCGCGACTGCCTTTTCACCTTACACAGGTCAGCAAAATTTTCCATCGACCGAATATGGAACTAGAAAAGCAGGCGATTGTATTTGTTGGTATCGTGCCAGTTCATACACCGAACATGTCGCAACCGAACTTTCTGTATTAGATCCCAGGGTCTTCTGCTCTAGCGTTCGGCCACCGACGCTTCATCATGAGGCAGCCAGCCCAGCAACGCTTTGCATTTGTTAGTAGTAACACACACAATATGTTTTCACAAAAATATGTGATTGTATGCTTTTTAAATTGCTAATGGTAATTAAATTAATTGGTTGCACTTACATTTCGAATAAAATTGGGCGGGAAACAGCTTTTTTTTACCGCATGTTAAGAGACCAGTCTCGCGCAAAAATAATGTCTAAATCCGATCCTAATTTTGGTTGGGTTAGAAGAAATTATTTATAAAAGCGCAAGCCAAATTGCCCTGGTAATGGTGTCAAATTTATGTTAATCCATCAATAAGTCATATATTTTTCTTTTTACAACCGATAACCGCGCTTCTAACCGCTGGTAGGCCGCTAACTCTCGGGACTTACGCTCAGCACTACTGAGAGCGCTGTTTGTTGTTTGCGAAGCTTGGGATTGTACTAAGCAAAATAAAATCAGAAAGAGAGCGCGTTGCGAGAATAGCCCACCTTGTATAACTTCATGGGCTGGCTAGCTCATGATGACGCGGCGGTGGACGAACGCCAGAGTAGAAGATCCTAGGATCTAATCCAGACTGTATGGTTAGTGGTACAGAGCTAAAATGGACAGAAACACACAGAAACCAAACAGTATTTTCAAATATTTTTAAGGCGCGTTATGGACTCACCCTCTTGACCAATGCAAATCGAATACTTATTCGTGATTCCTGATCGTTTGCCATCAAAATCTATCCTTTTTTTGAAAAATATTAAAAAAGACATCACGTAGGCACTTGCATAGGCCTAAATGAAAAATACGGCCAAACTTGTCAACAAACGTACACATTTTTTCTCCAGGTGTCGCTTTTAATAATTACATACAAATTTAGTTAATATTACTAGCCATACAGTATATAGATGTGCCAGTTCATAGAACGAACATGTCGCACATATAACACAGAATATCCCGTCCCATGGGGTTCGCGTCTGGTGTTCGGCTACCGTAGAAAGAACATCTCTGCATGTGTTCGTACACACACAATGACCTCTAGTACCAGCGCCTGTAGAACCAAAGGGGTCAATTGACCCCTCTCGAACTAGTTCTGCGCTGTTTACCGCGCAACTAGCTACGCAACTAGTTACGCGGGAAGCGAACGCGGACCAGGTCTTCGTCGACTACAATGTACTAGTTCTGCAACTAGTTACGCGGGAAGCGAACGCGGACCAGTCGAAAAAGAACCGAAAAACGAAGCCGCCTTCGGTTTGTTTTTGAAGGCGGCAAATAACCGCAATTCCGTGGAGTTACAGTGCCCACTCAGCTAGTTTTTACCGAGCCACGACATGCAATAAGCACCGAAATGGTAAGTTAATCGTGATATTTTACTGTAGTTGCGATCGTGGAATGAAAGAGACAAGAATTTACACAAACAAAATGCATTTGTTTTCCTCGTTTGCTTTATGCGTTGATTTTGTTCACTTCTGTACAAGATCTAATCGCTGGAAGAGTCTTTTGTGTGAACATTTATTAAAAAAGTGGAAAAGAATTAATAAATAAATCAAATTAATATAAACAGGTACGTGCAAATACTTTTAGAAACTCTAAAACAGGAGAATGCAGTTATTCGTGGTAAGACTAATAAAGATTAACAGAGAAATATTTGTATAATCAAATTAATTAACAACATTGTTTTTAGATCAATTGAATGCAGTGGTCAAAATTTTAGCGGATCAAACTGTTTTAATAAAGCAGCTGGTAAAGGAGAAGGGGGAATTGAATCCCATTCGGGGACAGTTCCCTATAAAACGTGAGGAAGAACTTATAGAACTGGAAGAAAAAATAAAATTAAATAGGGACAATTATGTAAGTATATCTAAACTCTAAATTTTATGACTTTTTTCTCTGTCTTATCTTTATATTTTAATGTTTCACTTACAGATAACAGCAATGAAATCAATTCTCCAGCCAGTTGGCGTGTTGACCGGCTTAAACTTTATTTTGAGTGAGGAAATTGTTCTAGCCTATAACGTCGATGGGGTCCAAGGGAAGAAGGCCCTTAGGACCCACAAAGAATTTTTTGCAGCTTTGCTAGGTAAAATACCATTTACACTTCTAGAGATTTAAAAATTTTTCATATAAATTAAAACCAATATTAATTACAGAATGTATTCCGCCTGGCGATGAGCCTCCCGAAAACACTGTGCGGAAGGCAATGCAAAGGATGAAGAAAAGGGTGTTTAAGAAGAAGTGTCTTGCCAAAAACCAGGAGTAGGCTAAGCATCATATAATGAAAAATTATTCGTTATAATGAAAGACATTGTGTTTTTATTTTTGTATTATTCCAGACTGCCAGATTGACTACTACCAGTAGTCAGTTCGGAACTAGTTACTGGTAACTAGGTCAGAGCTAGCTACAGGTAATCGAAGGGTAGTCGAGTGGGGAACTAGTTGCTGGCTTTCTACTGGTAACTAGTTCGGAACTATCTCCTGAGCAACTAGCTACGGGTAATCGAAGGGTAATCGAGCGGGAACCAGGGGTGGTTCAGCCCTAGGACATGCATGTGTTAAATTCTCCGCTGAAATACATTGCGGGTAATCGATCTGGAACCAGGGAGGTGAGAATGGTAGCTAGTGCGGCACCAGTGCGGAACTAGTTGCCTGGTACTAGAGGGAGGCAACTAGTTCTGCGCCGATGTCGCACTAGCTACATATGTGTGTAGCTAAGGATCTAACCTCAAGACAACTGTCATTTTGAAAACCCTCATGCTTGATGGAATATGAACACAAATAGTTCTTTCGTGTATTTTTGGTATATTTTGGAGCTGTATTTTCGGTATATTTTTTTAGAGTCAGACTGTATACCATATCGATAAATCCGCTGTCACACTATTTTCGACCAACAAGTTACGTTTCGCTCATTTTGGATTAGGATAACGCGATTTTTAAATAAGAATCGTAGGCAGCCCAGGAGCGACACCCAGCAGAGTTCTAAGCATGGATTTTGGTGAGCTGTTGCATTTGGCCAAAAAAAAAACCGACGCAGTCACAAAAGATAAGGTGGGTTCAGGCTTTGGTTTCTGTTTTTTGGGGTCATCTCGTGTCACTGTTGATTTACTCGATGCATTTGCAATATTTTCCTGACCATCCCCCACCCCTTTCCACCTGACCAATATTCGCCATTACCACCCACCTATGTGCATGTATACACATGCATTTGCGTGTGATTCTCGAATCAAATCAGAATATCAAAAACAAAGGTCCGCTCCAGGTCCAGTCCGACTGGCAATCAGTGACCCCAATTGTCATGCTTTCGCAATCTTAATCTTGTGCATTGCAGGGCAAGTACTACAGTACCAAGTATGCACCGCCCAAGAAGGAGAGCAAGGCGAGCAAGGAGTTGTCGAGCAACATCCAGAAGTTTCTAAAGAGGCGCGAGGCCGAGGAACAGGAGCGCAAACGGAAGGAACGCCAGAAACTCACCGAGCTGCTAGCCAAGCGCGACGAGAAATCCAAGAACAAGATACGAAAGATGCTAAAAGTTACTAAGTCGGCCAACAAGTCGGTGCTCGAGGATGCCAACGAGGGTGATAATGGTGGCCAGAACGGTGGTGACCAGGGCGAGGGCGAAGGCGATGACTACGGCTATGTGTCGACTGAGTCGAATGCCTTCTATCAGAAGTACATTGAGAAAGTGCGCGATGTCCATGAGGACAAGGGATTTGCCCCAAGCCGTCCTCAGTCGGTACAAGATCTCTCCGGTACGAAGGAGCGTGTCAAGGCAGCCATCACCCGTGAGCGGGAGGAGGCCATGTCCCATACTCGGCCGCGATCGTCATCTGATGCAAGATCATCTGGCGCTTCTGCTACGGCTTCCGGCTCCAAAAGCAAGATCCGGGAGGCTCACGTGGCGCGAGCCTACAGCACTTGCAGAGACATGGCCGTCTACAATCCAGAAACGGAACGTCTTGAGGAGGAGCGGAAGAAGCGCGAGGCGGAGAGAAGCAGGGCCAAAGCCAAGCGACCTCCTCCTATGGATTTTCAGGCGGTCCTACGTCTGGCGGCGAAAGCGCAGCACGAACCGGTGGTTTACGTCCAGCCCGAAAAGAAGGAGCCAGAGCGTCTTTTGTCTGCTCGCGAGAAGCGCGAGATGGAAGAGCGTCAACGACAGAGGGAGCAGCGTGCCGAAAGAGATCGGGTGCGCGAAAGCGAACTAAAGGCCAAGGATCAGAACAAAAATGGGGGCAGTCGCATGGAAACCACCGGACGCATACCCAAGCTCAGCAGCTTCGCATCAAACAAACCCTCTTCTACGCCTCCTTTAAGCGAATCCAAAGCAAAGCCAACTAGTGATAATGTCTTCAAGCGGCCGGCGCCGCGACCAGCTCCGCCTCCAGCTTCAGCCGCCAGCTCCAGCCGGCTCCCTGCATCAGCTCATAACTCTTTCACAAAACCTGACAGAAGTCGTCTTCCCGCCACCGCGACAAAGCCGTTGTTAGGCAAACCAATTCTCAGTACCAGCTCTGGACCCAGTTCCGTCCGCGGACCCAGCGCCGTGCGTGGTCCCGTCGCCAGTGCAAGAATCGTTCCAATAAGGATTCCCTATGGAGCAGCCGGCAGGAATGGACCAACGCGGGAATTCTCGCCCGGAGATCGTCCAGCCGGTGGTACTCCGGCAAGGACGCGCCAATTTCCACCAGCGGATGTTCAGAGATCAGGCAGCAGGGCTATGCCGTCTGGTCGTGGCAAACCCCAACAGAAGTCACCCACCAAAAGTATGTTCCGAGCTGACTCGATCCGTCAAATGTGGCGAAATAATCATCTTCACCCCTCTCCACTTAGGACGCATAGACGATGAGGATGACGATTACGATTCCGAGTTGGATGACTTCATCGATGATGGCGAATGCGAAGAGGACATTTCCTCGCATATCCGCGACATATTTGGATATGACAAGCGGCGATATCGCGACCTCGACGATGATGATAGCGAGATGGAGTCGAGCTTTGCTCAGATGCAGCGTGAGGAGTTCCTCAGTGGAAAAATGGGTGAGTTTGGATATTTTACCGGTCCGCCCCTTAATGGCTAATCCTTTGTTTTAATGATAGGATTGCAAGAGGACTTGGAGGACATGCGCATGGAGGCGATTCACAAGAAGCGAAAAATTGCCAGACGAAAGGCCACCCGCATCGATGACTAAACCAGCGCCCAATGTTAGCTCAAATCTCAATATTATGCGCCATGGATGTATGGGATGGGATTGATTTTTTTTATCCATACATTACCACACTTCCGCACATCAATATAGTGCTGCTTATCGAACGCAAAGGACGATGCTATATTTGCTTGGTTAATGTTCAGCCTGAATCTACTTGATCCCCCCACTTCACCACAGGTCCGCCGGTTTTTCTACACTGAAGTTTACCAAATTCTTAATTCTTGCGAAACGATGCCACCTACGACCGATCAATGCTGAACCTATTGTTGCGTTATGCGTAAAATTGAGTGTTATTTTAGGGAAATTTAAAAAAAAAACTGTGTGCACTAGTTCAGCACGTCAGCATTTAAATTTATGTATGTCTATACGTATACGTTTACAAATCCATTTGCATTGCATTTCAGATATTTCTGTACGTATATATTTACATATGTGTACATATACATTAGCGTCGATGCATATACATACATACGTATAAAATATATACACGTACATTTTTTGCATACGGACCTATGTATGTGCATACGGACATACAAGGGTGTTCAATAACGACTAACCTAATTATACCCGATACTCAAAATGAGTATTGGGGTATATTAGATTTGTGGTAAAAGTGGATGTGTGTAACGTCCAGAAGGAATCGTTTCCGACCCCATAAAGTATATATATTCTTGATCAGCATCAATAGCCGAGTCGATTGAGCCATGTCTGTCTGTCCGTCTGTCCGTCTATCCGTCCGTCCGTCTGTCCGTCCCCTTCAGCGCCTAATGCTCAAAGACTATAAGAGCTAGAGCAACGATGTTTTGGATCCAGACTTCTGTGATATGTCACTGCTACAAAAATATTTCAAAACTTTGCCCCGCCCACTTCCGCCCCCACAAAGGGCGAAAATCTGTATCATCCACAATTTTAAAGATACGAGAAAACAAAAAACGCAGAATCGTAGAGAATGACCATATCTTTTAGACTGCAGAATCTGAATTGGATCGTATTACTATTATAGCCAGCATCAAGAAAACAATTTCATTTTTTCTCGCCCTGTCTCTCTCTAACACACAGGTAGCATAGGCGGCTTTGCTTAGAGTAAAACATTAGCGCCTAGATCTCAGAGACTATAAAAGCTAGAGCAACCAAATTTGGTATCCACACTCCTAATATATCGGACCGAGACGAGTTTGTTTCAAAATTTCGCCACACCCCCTTCCGCCCCCGCAAAGAATGCAAATCTGGGGATATTCACAAGTCTCAGAGACTATTAAAGCTAGAGTAACCAAATTTGGTATCCGCACTTCTGTTAGATCTCACTATAAAACGTTTATCTCAAAATTTCGCCCCACCCCCTTTCGCCCACACAAAGGACGAAAATCTGTTGCATCCACAATATTGCAGATTTGAGAAAACTAAAAACGCAGAATCATAGATAACGACCATATCTATCAGATTGCTGAATCTGAATCAGATCAGATCATTTTTATAGCCAAAGGAAACAAATCAATTTGCAGTGGCTACGCAGCGCGTGACGTCACGCTCAGACTGATTTTCTGTCTCTCTCGCACGCACTCTTTGTCGTGTCGTTTAATATTAGCGGCGTCTGCCGGAGGAGAGCCATACTGACTTAGTATCGGGTATAACTGTAGAGTTGCGGTGTCCGCAGCAACTCACAACGTTCCCCCTCGTTTTCTTATCGACGCACAAAAATTTTTAGACCAACCTTGTATAAATGTATCCGTATTGCACAGTAACATGTGTGTCTATATAAATCTGTTTTTTAACCACGCTTAAACCCTTAAAACTCCACCACATAAAGGGTATACACGCACAGTATGAGAACAACTTTTCCTGTTGTTAGGCACCCACCATACATATGTATGTATGTATGTACATTAGGGTTGCGCTTATATGTCAAATCGGGCTAGAACTTTACACTTTATTGTTTTATACCAAATGATACATTTTAGACCCTGAGACCCTTGAAAATTATAAATTTATAAATTTTATAAACAGGCGCAACCCTAATGTACATACACATCTAAATTTAACTTACTAAGTCAGTTTGTCTTATTTCTATCGAATGACAAATATTCTAGGTGTTGCATACCCCTCTCGCTCTCTCTCTCGGTTCCTAAAAGCGAAGTTACAGGCGAATTGTTGTATGTCCCTCTCTTCGTCGGAGTGCCCCGGTAACGAATATCCTTCTCCCCCTATCTCGAAAAAAGACTGGCTTTGTAAATTTAAACGTCAAAGGGCGACAACAGATTTTAATTGATCGCTGCATAGAAGATGTCTGTCCTTCTCGCAAGAATGACTTAGCTGCAACGATACACACAATTGTGATGGATAGACATGGCTGCCACAGAAGCACCGGCTTAGGGCAGCGAGGGCTCCACAACGACGGCGCTGCCCACTCGACGGCGATCGCAGACGGGGTGGGGCTCGGAGTCCATGAGGCCGATGGCCGTCTGAGCGGAGTAGGCTTTGTCACCGTCCAAGTACCTAACTTCGTGACCGATGTGCTGGAGGTATGCGACCGTGTGCCGGGGCACGTCCGGCTCCACCTCGATGTACATGGGATCCAGCTGGTGGTGAAGGCGGCCGGCGTTGACTGCACGCTCGATTGGCTCATGGAGGACGAAGTAGCGGAGGATGGTTTGGGCCACCGAGGTAGTGATCTTGGAGCCGCCGGCGCCGCCCACCAGCAGCTTCACATTGCCCTGGGAATCCAGTACGATGCTGGGGCAGGTGGAGGAGATGGGCCGCTTGCCGGGCTTTATGTAATTCGCCGGACTGGCAGGAATCCCGTAAATATTGATGCGGCCGGGCGTAGAGAAGTCGTCCATCTGGTCGTTGAGGATGAACCCCGTCTGGCGGGACCGTACCTTGGCGCCCAGATGGCTATTGATGGTGCTGGTCACGGAGATGGCATCCCCATTAGGGGCGAGCACCGAGATGTGGGCCGTGCCGTGGTCCGGGACGTTGGTGAAGTTGGCTCCGTAGTAGGACATATTCGTGAATGTGCGATCGTCTAGGATCAGCTCGCGTATCTGTGCCGCAAAGGAGGGATCGATGAGGTTCTCGTAGATTTCCTGAACCTCCGGCTCGTAATGGATGTCGCCCAGATTGGTGCGGTGTCCATAGGCGTGTTTAAAGGTCTCAACCAGCCGTTGCCAGTATTTCTCCGTGTTGCTTGTATACAGTGGCTCCATCACGTTCAGGATGAAGGTGAGCACGGCTCCACTGGTCGGCAGGGGTGAAGTATAGAGCTCAAATCCACCCGTGAATCGGGCATGCAGCGGCATTTCCCAGCGGACCCTGGAGAGAATCAGTAAGAATAGGCGGTATATTAAAAATATCAGAAATCTGAGATCTGGAAAGAATCTGGGAGATGGATAGTGGATCTGCGAAATGCGTCAGGGAGTAGGAGATTTAACAGGGACCTGGGAGATGGATTGGAATAGGGCGATCTGGAGTAATGATTATGGACCTAGGTGATCGATCAGATCTATCAAGAATTTTGGGAATAGATCAGAGAGATGACCAACGATGTGGGTGATGCTTCCGATATATGATAGAGGATCATATATATCAGTAGTATCGATCGATTATCTAAGCGAATGGTCGTAGTCTAGAAAATGTATTATAGATCTATGAGATTGATAGTATCCATGACCAATATATCAATCCTATAGATCCATAATAGATCTTCCAAACTGCGAGATAAATAAAACATTTATTCAAATCAGGGATCTAAAGAGACGTGCACTCACTCGTAGTTCTGCAGATCCTGCTCGGTGACGATGCCGCCCATCGACTGGATGTCTTTGACCAGCTTGGCTCCGACGCGGCCGCCCCGGTAGATGACTCCGGGACCCTCATGGGCGATTATTTCGAGTGACTCAGCCAGCATATGACGGTACATGATCTCGCCCTGCTTGTAGATAGTGTCTGTCTTCGGGTTGATGAAGATTTCTGCCATTGAAGGCTCGCTGCGGATACGCTCCTCCTCCCGCTCTAGCACGCCGGCCAAGTAGCGCGACACCTTGATGCCGCTCCGGCAGATATCAATGGTGGGCTGGAAGAGCTGGTCCCAGGGTAGCTTTCCATACTTATCATGCAGCTTCCAGTAGCCGTAGATCTCGCTGGGCACGGCACAGGAGAGCGCGCCGGTGATCTCCTTTTCCACGAACATATCCTGTGTAGCCGCCGCCGGGGCCGTCTCGCGCGCAATCAGTGTCTCAATGAAGCCCGTCTCCTTGGAGTAGATGGTGGCAACGAAGCCGCCGCCCACGCCCAGGCTGTGAGGCAGCATTACGCCCTCGCACAGCATCGTGGCAATAGCCGCGTCTGCTGCCGAGCCGCCGATGTCCAGGATGTTGCCGCCGACCTCGGCACAACCCACGCCGTTGGAGGCGACTGCGCCCATGCGGCGAGGCTCCTCGGTGCGTCCGCGTAGGCCGAACACCAAGCCTAGAATGACACCCACCGCGGCCACCAAAAGCACAATCCAGCAGACGGCGTATTTCATGCAGAAGCTGCCAGGAGGAAGATGGCATTGAGAAGTACGGTTATTGGTGCAGCAGACGAAACGACGGGGGCTTGAACTGGGGTATAGTGCCACTTGCCATCTCTTTACTCTGTCCCTCCCTACCGCTCACCCATACCCGACTAATATGTCACCGAACGCGTCAACCAGCTCCAAATATCGCATTGCAGTCAGCTTTTATCATTGACTCTGAACTGATTGGGTGCTGCGATCCAGCATACATACATATGTTATGTACATAGCTTTGGGTCTCTGCTTCGAATGTTTCGCCTAATATTTGGATATCTTTGACTGAACTATTGAGGGTAACCAGCTTGTCCGACATCTATAAATCACAGACAAATTTCCATGAACCTAAACTTTATAACCAATCTTACAGTCAGCAACAATTTGAGCTCCGGCTGACGCCAATATTACTTCGCAGTTAATTCAAGAACTGCGAACTCCGTGCTGATCTCCCGTGGAATTAGGACATACATATGTATGTATCTAGAAATGAAGCAGGTGATGAAATAACAGCGAAGCTAGTGGTAGAAACAGAATAGGAACAGAATGTGCCATAAGAATGAAAACCACATTGGAGCACATATGAATAGGATATAGTAGAATATGGAAATTATGACGTTGGCCTGAAAAAGCACTAAGTCATGCTAGATTACTCATAGAGAAATATCATGTGTAAAATTTCAAAAAACACGTCAAAAACACAGCAGAATGCCGCAGGATACAAATTGGTCTTTTGACAAGACACTGGGGGAGGAGTTCTGGGGTCGGCAGAGGCTATATCAGGTAGCATTGCAGTTACCTATTTCTAACAAGAATACAACTTTTCAGAGGACAATAACTGTCAATCCAAAGAAGCAATTCATCAAAGCTGTAAAATTAAACCCTTACCTTGTTTTTCCTTGCCATAATATGGAACTAATCTTTAGTTATACTACTGTATACCATTATTATCTCTCGTTTGAGGTTTTTCAAATGCAAGAGCTTGTTCTAAGATAAAATACATTAGGATTTGAATGACGTTTCTTTAACCTTCAGTTCCCTCTGTGACTGCCTTTTTATACCCGATACTCAAAATGAGTATTGGGGTATATTAGATTTGTGGTAAAAGTGGATGTGTGTAACGTCCAGAAGGAATCGTTTCCGACCCCATAAAGTATATATATTCTTGATCAGCATCAATAGCCGAGTCAATCGACTGTCCCTGTCCGTCCGTCCGTCTGTCCGTCCGTCCGTCCGTCTGTCTGTCTGTCCGTCCCCTTCAGCGCCTAGTGCTCAAAGACTATAAGAGCTAGAGGAACGACATTTCAAATCCGGACTTCTGTGATATGTCACTGTTACCAGAATTTTTCAAAACGTTGCTTCGCCCACTTCCGCCCCGCCAAAGGGCGAAAATCTGTGGCATCCACAATTTCAAAGATACGAGAAAACTAAACGCAGAATAGTAGAGGATGACAATATCTTCTAGAGTGCAAAATCTAAGCCAGATCGTATAATTATTATAGCCAAAATCAAGAAAGCAATTTCATTCTTTCTCGCTCTGTCTCTCTCTAACACACAGGTTTCATGGTCGGTTTTGCCAATTGCAAAATATGAGTTCAAGGATCTCAGAACCTATAAGAGCCAGAGCAACCAAATTTTTGACCGTTTTGTGTCAAAATTTCGCCACACCCCATTCCGCCCCCGCAAAGGACGAAAATCAATCTCTGAGACTATTAACGCTACAGTAACCAAATTTGGTATCCGCACTCCTGTTAGATCTCACTATAAAACGTATATCTCAAAATTTCGCCCCACCCCTTTCCGCCCCACAAAGGACGAAAATCTGTTGCGTCCACAATATTGCAGATTCGAAAAAACTAAAAATCAGCAGAATCATAGAGAATGACCATATCTATGAATCTGGATCAGTTCGGATAGTTTGTACAGCCAAAAGCAACAAATCTATTTGCAGTGGTTACGCAGCGCCCGACGTCACGCTCAGACTGATTTTCTGTCTCTCTCGCACGCATTCTTTGTCGTGTCGTTTAATATTAGCGGCGTCTGCCGGAGGAGAGCCATACTGACTTAGTATCGGGTATAACTGTAGAGTTGCGGTGTCCGCAGCAACTCACAACGTTCCCCCTCGTTTTTATTAGGAGCCTCATATTGTCGGGAACTTCCATCACTGTAATCCAAACACCTTTACCCATTCGTAAAGAACTGCTTTTAGCCATTTTATAATCCAGTACTTACCTCATTCTGTTTTGTGTATCCTTAGGAAGAAGACCTAAGATTTAAAAAAAATCGAATTTGTGGCCTTACGGGGGCTAACCGACCACGGATTTAGTGAGCTACGTGAATGGCTATCGGGTTGAGTTGTGTGCTTTTTATATCCCGCCGTTCAATGGATTATCTCGTATTGTCCACCGATAAGACAAGAAGCCAAATCCATATCCATTCCTAGCCATATTCATATCCATAGCATGACAGAGGCCATGGTTTTTATACCCGATACTCAAAATGAGTATTGGGGTATATTAGATTTGTGGTAAAAGTGGATGTGTGTAACGTCCAGAAGGAATCGTTTCCGACCCCATAAAGTATATATATTCTTGATCAGCATCAATAGCCGAGTCGATTGAGCCATGTCTGTCTGTCCGTCTGTCCGTCCGTCCGTCTGTCCGTCCCCTTCAGCGCCTAGTGCTCAAAGACTATAAGAGGTAGAGCAACGATGTTTTGGATCCAGACTTCTGTGATATGTCACTGCTACAAAAATATTTCAAAACTTCGCCCCGCCCACTTCCGCCCTCACAAAGGACGAAAATGTGTGGCATCCACAATTTCGACGATACGAGAAAACTAAAAACGCAGAATCGTAGAAGATGACTTTATCTTACAGAGTGCAAAATCTGAACCAGATCGTATAATTATTATAGCCAGAATCACGAAAACAATTTCACTCTTTCTCGCTCTGTCTCACTCTAACACACAGGTTTCACGGTCGGTTTTGCCAATTGCAAAATATGAGTTCAAGGATCTCAGAACGCATAAGAGCTAGAGCATCCAAATTTGGTATCCACACTCCTGTGATATCGGACCTTGACCGTTTTGTGTCAAAATTTCGCCGCACCCCCTTCCGCCCCCGCAAAGGACGAAAATCTGGGGCAACCCCAAATCTCAGAGACTATTAAGGCTAGAGTAACCAAATTTGGTATCCGCACTTCTGTTAGATCTCACTATAAAACGTATATCTCAGAATTTCGCCCCACCCCCTTCCGCCCCCACAAGGGACGAGAATCTGTTGCATCCACAATATTGCAGATTCGAGAAAACTAGAAACGCAGATTCATAGAGAATGACCATATCTATCAGATTGCTGAGTCTGGATCAGATCAGATAATTTTTATAGCCAACAGGAACAAATCAATTTGCAATGGCTACGCAGCGCCCGACGTCACGCACAGACTGATTTTGTGTCTCTCTCGCACGCACTCTTTGTCGTGTCGTTCAATATTAGCGGCGTCTGCCGGAGGAGAGCCATACTGACTTAGTATCGGGTATAACTGTAGAGTTGCGGTGTCCGCAGCAACTCACAACGTTCCCCCTCGTTGGGATTCGTCATGCGCGGAGGAAAGAATATAATATTCTTAGAGAGCTGACTAAGTGCCGTTGGAGACCAAAGGGGTAAGCCGACAAGAAGTTGTGTAGTCCAATGCGAAAGAGCCTTAATTATATGAATATATGTATGTATATGTTATCGGGCAGGTGAGGCTGATAAGGGGAACTTGAAAACCGTTCTAAAGTCGATCTGCAGACATGTGGGGCTCATGTAGAGACAGAATTGGAATGTTCTAGAGGAGATCTGCATAGTTCGATATAGAAATTGATTTGGGTAGTTGGCTATAAATATTCGCTGGCCGAATAGAAAAATTAATTATTTCATTATTCTTTAACAGGAAAATTCGTAATGATATGAGCTCTACCGGACTTTGACCGAAAACCGATTTGGTTTAATAGTTAAAATATCCATGATTCGAAATGGCCAAATGAGCACACGATCATCTGGCAGCGCTCTCTAATCAGAAAAGTACTAGCCTATCGATATTGCTTCTATCAACAGGCAGCCGTCACTATATCACAGTCCTAAAAGTTCAATCGCTAACGTATGTTCAATTTGCTGATGGCCATATGATATTCTAATTTTCTAACTGACTAACTGCAAAAACAGAAAAAGCCTTTTCAGAACCAATTTTGCTTGCTGGGTGTGCTGGAAAACAAAATTTTGTCACAAATAGTGCCCCAGTTATTCGACTGGTAGCCGGAGACCTGTTTAAAGACGGCTACGAACAATACTTCCGCGTTTTTCCTGTCATGCTATCTTTCTCTTCGCAGCAAAGTTGGCAAGTTCTAATGTCGCAAGGCTAAAGCTAGGCATACAGTATATACATACATACATACGTAGATTAGTGTTGTAATGCTCATGAGTGAGTGAACAAAAAAGAGTTGTTCACTTAAGTGAGCAACTGAACATGGTCCTTCCAAACTGTTCTTTTTTGCTCACTTGTTCTTTTTTGCTCACTTGTTCTTTGTTACTTACTTGTTCTTTTTTGCTCACTTGTACTTTGTTGTTCACTAGTTCATTTTTGCTCACTCGTTCTTTGTTTTTCACTTGTTCATTTTTGCTCACTTGTTCTCTACTCACTGTTAGCGCAATTTTGCTCCTCAAAGGGCATTTTGCGTTCTGGCAGTTGTTGCTCATATTTGCTTTTACTTCACACTTTTTTTATTACCGGCAGTATGTCGCTAATTCGAACTATATTCGATACTTCGAAAGTATAGTGAAATTTGGAATATAAATAATAATAATTATATAGTTATAAATGTTTGATTAAAATTGAAATGTAACGTATTTTATTTGTGTCATAATCTGTAGTGCTTAGTGATCTGTGCGTGAACAGTGAGCAACTGAGTAATCTAAGTGAGCATCTAAGCAATCTAAGTGAGCAATCTGAGTGAGTTGACTCACTTACTACAAAAGAACAAGTGAACATTTTCACCAAAATGAGCAATGTTTACCCAACACTAATGTAGATGTATTAGTTCATACAAAGTAGAATTCCTAATAGATTTGCTGCGTACGCTCCTAGGTCTATGGCTCTAGCGTTTGGGCCGCTCATTTTTAGCGCTTTGTTTTGTTTAGTTTCTGT